CCTTCCTGTGCTGGGGACCCCAGAGCTGGATGCAGCACTCCAAGTGGGTCTCACCGAGCAGAGCAGAGAGGCAGAATAACCTCCCTTGACTTCCTGGTCATGCTCCTTTTGATGCAGTCCAAAGTACAAGTGGCTTTCTGGGCTGTGAACACACACTGCTGGGTCACATCCAGCCTCTCATCCATCAACACTCCCAAGTCCTTCTCATCAGGGCTGCTCTTGATCTGTTCATCCCCCAGCATGTACTGACACTAGGGGTTGCCCCATCCCAGGTACAGCACCTTGCAGTTAGTCATATTAAACCTCATGAGATTCACATGGATCTACTTTCCAGATTGTCTAGGTCCTTCTGGATGGAATTTGGTCCTTCAGGTATGTTAACTGCACCACTCAGCTTGTGGTCATCAGCAAATTTGCTGAGGGTGCCCTTGATTCCTTCATCTGGTCCCAGTATTGACCCCTGAGGGATACCACTTGTCACTGATGTCCATTGGGACACTGAACCATTGACCAGCATCCTCTAGATGCAACTTTCTTATCCATCTAAAAGTCCACTCATCAAAGTCCATCAAATACAATTTAGAGAGAAAGGTGTTGTGGGGGATCAGTCAAAGGCTTTACAGAAGTCCAGATAAATGCCATCTGTAGACCCTTCCTTGTCCAGTAGTTGCTCCATCATAGAGGGCCATTGGATGGGTCAGACAGGACTTCCCTTGCTGAAGCCATGTTGGCTGTCTTGAATCACCCCTGCATCCTCGATGTGCCTTAGCACAGCTTCTCGGAAGATCTATTCCATGATCTTCCCAGGCACAGTGGTGAGGCTGACAGCTCAGTAGTTCCCTGGGTCCCCCCTTCTACCCTTTTTAAAGATGGGTACAGTGTTTCCCCTTTTCCAGTCACCTGGGACTTCTTCTGACTGCCATGACTTTTCAAATATCCTGGAGAGTCGCTTGACAGCTACATCAGTCAATTCCCTCAGGACTCTGGGAGGCATCTCATCAGGTTAAGGTCACAAACCAGATCTTCTCTAAAAGCGGAAGGGACTTTTCTCTCCTAGTCCCCGTCCTGCTATCCATCTACTCAAGAGGTGTGGAAAGAGAGGTTACTAATGAAAAAAAAGTTGAGTACGTCAGTTTTCTCTCCATCTGTTGTTAGCAATTAACCAGCATTGTTTAGCAGGGGGTATACACCTTCTTTGACCTTCCTTTTCTGGTTATATCTTCAGCTCATCCTCATTTAGTATAGCCTGGAGGTTTTCAGAGCTTCCAGCTGCCTGCAGGTCCAAAAAACAATACACATGCCAAGACTATCTGGATCACACCACTGCTAAGCAGTGTCCTTTTCTTGCCTTGAACACACTCCTATCTTAAGGCAACACAGTGGTCAAAGCCCTTGGATGTGTGCTTGCTGAGCCAACTTCTTTCCAGCCTCTTTGCATCGCTCAGCTGACTTCAACTGATCAGACAATGAAGAATCTGTACTCACCTTTTCCTTCCTCTGTTCTAAAATTCATTATATTACTAGAAAGGTTAGTACAAATACAATTGAGCACTAGTAGGAAAGTCTAGTATTGCTTTTTGTTCTTCAGGTATAGTAGAACAACCTACATGAAAATTATGAAGAACCATTAAGTAAAGTGGACAGTCTACTTAAGTGTTGCCATATAGTAATTTTTTCCCTTTGAAAATTTTGAACAGAAATTGTTCCCGAATGATGACGTGAATACAAGTGCAGCTATCTCTGGTGGTGTGTTAGAGCTGTGCTAAGAATCAAGTGTTTATAAAACCATACAGTAGAACACCCGAAAAAAAATTAACTGTGCAGTGCTAAATGATTATTGCTGAGCTTTTTCTTTCTGCTAGCCATTCATTAGGTTTGGTTTCTTTTTTTTTCAGTGTACCATACTAAAAGCTACACATAGTGGAATTGCTTGTAATCTGTGAATTGAAAAGAGAACACTTGCTGTCACTTCCTTTTTTCTAAAAGCATATACAAAATAACATGCAAATTCTTAATGCAGTTGGTGTTCAACTGCACTTCTCTCCCTCATATTAAAGCCTAATGAGACATAAAAATAACTTTTGAAACTTCAAGATGCCTCTCATCCACAGAAGTTAATCTGTTTTAGGACTTCATGGTCTGTGTGGGGAAACTTGATTATGTGTCTATTCCAAAAAACCTGATTAGTAGATCAGTCCTGGATGGGAATAATTTCAGGGTGATATCTTAGAGGTAACACAGAAGTCAGAAACAGTGTTGTGAGGCTCTCAAAGCTGCACAGCTGATAATTATTCTTTTATTCTTAGCTTAGTGGTACTGAGGTGTTATACTTGAAAAGCTGTTAACCGCTACATTTTCCACCACATTGTATATCAACAATAGCATGGGCCAAATTTAGAGCTTTAGTAGCATTCAGAAAAAAGATTTCCTGTGGTTGTTCTGCCCTTCAGAACTGCAGGTGTGCTTGTTTAGAAAGTACTTTGTGATCATTTAGGAAATCTTTTATTTCCATTTAAGATATCAGGACTGGCTTGACAGCTCTGAGATCCGAGAACTGTCAGAAGGTGCTGAGTTCAGCAAGTCTTTAGCCTAGCATTGGCCATCAGAATTTTACTTACTCTGAGTGGTCAGTCAGGTCCCAACACCAGTCACAAACTCTTGAAGTGTGGCAGCCTGAAATGAGAGGTCATGAGATGGGGTGATGGGACTTCCTTGTGAGTGATGGATTCTGCTTTCTGAAGTGCTTTGAGATATACTGGGAAGGTGAGTTGTAGATAAAGAATCCTGAATGTAAGGTGCTGTTGGTGATATATATTATTGCATAACAAACTGAGCGTTTTATTACTTTTACCTAAATATTTCATCCCTTCGGTTTATTTTGTTGTTCTCATACTTCCTGGAAAAACGTTACCTGCATACTCTCTGAAGCATTTGAAGGGATAATCTTGTTAAGAAAAACATGGTTCCTAGTATTTGATTTTCAAGAACCGCTGATGGGCAGGCCACAGGCTAGCAGCAAAGTGTCATCATACAAATTCATTTTACCTCACTTCATTGTCCATTGAATCCTCAAGGCAATCATTGTATGAGGTCATCAGATAACTTTGCATATGTTAACAAAATCTCTGCTTCCTCAAAAGCATTTAATCCAGCACACTTACAAACATGTTATAAACAAAGCTATTTCTATTTTCAGTAGCAATCTTGCTGAAATCTACACTGTGAGATCAGTAAAACAGTCGTGTTCAAGAAGTAGCGAGCTGTGATGTCTGTTGTAGAACATCATGAATTCTCTTTTGACAGATAAACAGGCTGGAAAATCCTGACTTTATTTGCCTGAGAATTCCTTAAGATCAGATAGCATTTATAGTAATATACATCTGAAAGACAGTGTCTACAATTTAATGGGGATTTTTGCTGAGTGTTGGTTAATGTGTTTACTGAGGTGGTTACACTGCAAAATTTTCTTTAAATGGTTCTGTCAGTTAATCTCAATTCAAACAATTTCTTTTGCATTACTTTTTCCAGAGGTAAATGGACATTATTCAAAATTGTGGAGTGTTTGTGCAATAGCCACATATATGTGAGTTTAACAACTATGAAGGAGCCTGAAGTTTTTGAGCATGTGCTCAAAAATGTAAAAAAATATGAATCTAGTATCCAAGATGTCGAACAGTAATGCACTAATGAGCTATTAGGCAGTAGTCCATGCTGGGGTGTTTTATTTGAAAAAGAGTTTTAGTTAGCTTGTTTGCCTGATTTTTTTATTTGTCTGACATTTTGAAAATAAGGTAAATTTGATGTGAAATAGGTTAAGGGAGACATTATAGATGGCAATAACAAGCCCACCAAATAAACATTTCTCTACCTTGGAGTCATGTTTGCATGTAGCTTATTCAAACACGCGTGCCAGCTGTTTCAAAACTTGATATTTCAGGTACACAGCTTGCAAGACAGACAGCATGCCTGGCCTAAAACTCACTCAGCTCCGACTTCAGTGTGGAGAAGCACTCTCCCCCTAAGATCTACATTAAAAAAAATAGCCAGGCTTTGTAGGTGAGGCTTGCACCCTACATATAGGGTTCTTTTTCTGACATTATTTGCATACCAACAGATCTCCTGTTGTTGGGGAGTCATTGAAGAAGGGAACATCTTCCTGTATGTAACTGAAACTTCCACAAGACAATTAGTTCCATTGGAACATTCAATAATTTTGGTTAAACCATGGTTTTCCATAATGTTATGGGGTCCATTTCCCATACTGTATTGCTGGGTCCAGTTCCAAGACTTGTCCATCAGTCCTTTCTTTGCTTACAGACAACATGTGGTACTTTGTGCATGCAAACACACACACCCCTACAGAGGCTTCAGGTTAGAGCAAACAAGACTGCACTCATTTGAGCACTCCCACACACAGATACATACAGGTCAGCGCAAACACGATTGCAGTTATTTGAGCGCTCCTCTAAACAGCTGGTGCTTCGGCGGCTCATCATTGTTCGTAGCGCTTACACGTGCTCTTACCTCCTCCCTGCCCTTCTGTAAATACCAACTGGTTAATTTCTGATGGTGCCCCGGTGGATAAGTGAGAGCAGACGGGGAGGGTGGCTCGGCGCGGCTCACGGCGGGGTAGGGCAATGTGTGTGGAGGGGGCACCGGCGGGTCCCATCGCCGCCGCCGCGGTGCCGCCGAGCTCGATACCGGCCGCGAGGGGGCGGATCCGCGGTTGGCCGCGGCTGCGGGGCGGGCGGCAGAGCCGAGGCGAGCGAGCAGCCCGGCCGGACTGAAGTTTTTGGCTGCTCGCCGCCCCGGTGGCCCGCAGAGAAGCGCTGCCCTGCGGAGGGGCAGAGCTGCGGCGGCCGCTGCCCGCGCTGGCACTATGAGGGAGCAGCACCCATGCCTGGGCACCGTGCAGCGCAGCAGGATGGGCGTGTTGGAGCTCGCCGGTAGCCCTGTGAAACGCTTGCGAACTGAGCGCGCCTTTCCCTGTCTCTTCGCAGAGGAGGCCTATCAAAAACTGGCTAGCGAGACCATGGAGGAGCTGGACTGGTGCCTGGACCAGCTGGAGACCCTGCAGACCAGGCACTCCGTCAGCGAAATGGCCTCGAACAAGGTAGGAGCCCGTGGGCTCGGCACCGCCGCCCCGCTCTCCCTTCGCGCGGGTGGCCGCAGGGCCGGGGGTCGCCGCGGCCAGGGCGGCCGGAGGGTCCAGGGGGATGGAGCGGCCCCGGCCGGAGAAACTTGCCGTAGGCGAGCAGTCTCCGTACGCGGGTTTGGGTGCGGGAGCGGCTTCTGTTGTGGTTTTGTACACCGTTTCCTGAAATTTCAGGGCAAGTTGCGAAAGTGATGCAGATCTTGGAAAGCTACACTGTTTCTCTGTGTATCTGCTTAAAAACAAAAAGAGATTGTTTAGAGCTTCTGTCGATAATCCCTTCGGTTGCTCTTTCTTTTCACAGCATCCCGTACAGAACTAGGGATCTTTCCTGGAGGTGGTGTATAAAGTAGCATGAAAAGGTGATAAAGGTAGTTCTTGATCCCGAGGGAGCTGTATGCTGGATTCTGTTTGTAAACAGTAATACTGACAGCTCTCATAACGCTATTTGTTATGAAAGAACATGCTCGGAACCGAGGTGCCATCACAATAGACACCTACCTCTCGAGGTGTGTTTCTGAGACAGAGTGCACACTTTCTTCCCATCCTGGAAGCTGAGGATGCACATTATCTGGGAACTGTGTGCTGGGATCTGCTGTGGTCTGTATGTGAATTTGTTTTGCAATTTGAGATCGAGTTTCCATGTTCCCTATTCATAAATGCACTTTCTTCCTTAATTTTAGTTTGCAAAGAATATGTACTTAGATTTCTGGAGTTAATTTTTACAGACTAATTAATAACTCTGCTGTCTTGCTTCAGAGTTTATTTTTATATTTGTCATCGTCTGAATATTTGGCCAGCTACATATACAATTAGAAATAGGAAAGAAGCTTTAATTTGAAGAGTCTTCCATCTCTTATGTCTTCAAAAGCAGCTGATAGATATTTTACCACCTTCTAATAATTTTGGTTGCAATTAGTAATTTTTTTTTAATTCAGAAAATAGTTGTTTTGACTCAGCTTATGCCTTCCTAAAATTATAGTCTTGCTCTGGCTGCCCTTACCCAAGTATCTGCTGTTTGTTATTGGCTGTTTTTAAGTCCCTCTTCAACTCTGCTGCATGTCAGGTGTGAAGTATTAGGCCCACAATGTCATGTGCTTTTCTTGGCTTTAGAGACTTGTAGCATGAATTTAATTTCTTTTTAAAAGTTATCTGCCTGACATTTCGCTATTCTCAGAACTTCATTTTCAGTTTTTATTGCCACTTGAAAGATTTTGTTACTCGGTATGTATTGTGTATGTATCCACAAATTACAAAGTCAAGAGTTTTGGAGAACCTGTTGGTAACTAGTTTTAACACCTGTCAGTTTCCTGACTTGTGATGTCTGTATAGCCACACTTTCATAAGATGCTCGACTTTCTTTGAGTATTTATTTATTACATCCCTATAATAGATCAGATATGCATACGTAATTTATGAACAATAAGGGCAAACTGTTTTTAAGATAAGATAAAACTAACTGCAAATCAATGTGTCTTTAAGTTTTGCCTAATATATACAAATTTTTACTGAAGAACAGTTTTAAAATAAAATTTGACAATTGCTTTGCATGTGTAAGTAGACACAGACATGCTACATTTGATACTATGTTCTGTTTGTATTTGTTTGAATTAGTAAGCTTTGTCATTCTTTTTGGGGAAGTCTTGTATAGGAATTTGTATAGAAATTTGTGTCACCTTTCAGTGTTTGTTCTGTTTTGTTTGTTAAGAAACTTTTAAAAAGTAAGTCCGTGCCACTAACTATAAAGTGAACAATTTTGAATATAAAAGAGCAAGCCCATATAATAGTTTGAGAAAATTTAGTGCAGAAGGATTTTAATTTCAGGTGTATATCAGGTTGTTCTAAAGAATCATTTTACTTTGGATTACTACAACATATCCAGCATTTATACAATAACTCCTATTGTAATATAACTGCAAACTGTGACATCTCAGTGAAGCATACTAGTAAATTATACTATTTTAGGTTACGGAGAAACTGAAGTAGAAAAACTTTGCTCAAGGCTGAGGACAGTCTTTAGTACAGCAATGAGTATCCAAGACTACGCTGTTCTCTATCTGAAATGTAGGTCCTGTAAAGTCAGAAGAAAAAAGCAGGAAAGGAAGTGTCGTTGGTACAGAACATGGTTTCTCACTGTGTTTATCTCTTCTTTTCTCTGGGTTTCTCTACAAACCAACCCAAAAGATTGATTGATTGGTGGTGGTTGTGTGTTGTTTCCCCCTCCCTCCCTCCCCCCCCCCCCAACCCCCGGCATCCTTTACTTTCTCTTTATTTTGCATATAACAGCATTTTCACCAGTGCTAGTTTTCCTTATTTATGGGAACACGTGAGACGTAAGGGGTCCGTAAGAATTGAGCCCTGCACCAGGTAAGAGCTTTTGCACATTGTGGAAAGGCTGCCATAGTAAAGGAAAAAAATCCTGGGTGGAACCAATATTAGTATCCTGAATGCTTGAATTAGGCCAGGGAGTAAGTCTTACCTTTAGTCCCTCTTTATGCAGTGAGTTGGCAGTCTGAACTGTTGGTTGCATCTGTTTGGAATCCCTTTACCATCGTAATGCTTGCATAGGACTTGCATTAGCACATCCCAGTCCACTGGTATTTATTTTGTCTGGTTGCCCCTCATGCTCAGTTAGCAGTTGTCTATGAGGTGCCAGCTGACAGCTTCGGATGACTGAAAGTGGAATGACGTAGATACATAAGAAGATCCTTCTTCTCCCTGCTTAAAATTGCTTGAAGCAGTAGTCACGGGGTGCTATGTGCGATCTCTAGATGAGCCCTTGCATCATATTGGATTAAGTGTTACCCAGAAGACTTAGAAAATGTGCCACAGGTCTATTCTGTAGGAAGCTAGCCATGCTTGGCTGCCCAAGTTACACCAGTATGACTGTAATATCCAGATGATGTCTCATTTCCCAGCCATCCTTCTGATAAGCAGATTTCCAAGTGCCTGCAGGCATTGCGCATGAAGTAACTGATCGATACATCCATGATGCACCCATAGGCATAGTTTGTAAATAAATGTGATTTCAGAAGGACACAGTATTTAGATGTATTGTCAATTGTCATTAGGTTGTTATGAATCCTACACTTGGTCTTTTCTTAAATTTCTAGCTTCTGAAATTAGGTACTAGCAAGACAAAGCCAGTTTTTAAAAGCATAAGAATTTTATCATTGTAGTCTTTTAGAAGCCCTTTGAAGTTTTGAAAGGTGAGGAAACAGAGAGAGGCACCTTAAATTTAGAAAATTGACTAAAATATCTTGCATTTTTGGAGAACTATTTCTGATTTTCTATACTATTTAATATTGCTTAGCATCAGTGGACTGTGGTTGTATTGTTGTGTTTTCCTGCATCATGCTTTCTTGAACAGATCTAAATTAATTTTAGGAAATACAAATCTGGATCATAAAGATAGGATCCTAAAGCATAATTAGATGTTGCTGTCTGATTTCCAAAGATCCTAATCCATATCAGTTTCTGCTAAGCCAAATTGTGAGTAATATCTCTTGAAAAATGTAGTTTTTAGGAGGCTACCAGCTTGGTGATTGTGATTTCTAACTTTATTTACAGCTGTACTTTTATACATATGTACAAGCCAATAATAGTTTTAAAAATTTCCAGGTAGTAGAGTGATTTTTTCTTTTTTAATTATTTTTTAAAATAATTAGGTGTTTGTTTGGGGTTTTTTTTTGATGAGTAATGCCTTGTTCTTTTCTTCTGCCAAACAATACTAAAGCAAGATTTAATAGATTTTAAATTCTCTGGGAGAAGAACTATCCTCTTTCAGTACACAGTTTGACAGTACCTAGAGTAAGGTCCTGATTCTGGATCCGAGAGTTATTCTGTGATAGACAGTAAACAAATTAAGAATTCCAGTAATAAAGATGGAGCAACCACTTTGTTAGACAGTATTATTTGTAGATTAGTCAAATGTGAAGGAATACCTATAATGAAACTTGTATGCAAAAGCATGTTTTCGCTTTTGCAATCATGATTTTGCAAACATCTTATGCTTATTCCTTTTGTGTGTCTGAGCTTATGAATTGAGACATGGAAAAGGTTTCAATTCATGTCGGTTTTGTTTCAGTTTTAAGCCTCCTGCAGATGATGTTTTTTGCAGGATTTGCTAATGGTAATGATCAAGAGTCTGGAAAGTGTTGTTCATGGGGAACTTCTTTCCCTCTACAGTCTTAGGTGTCAAAGCTGAGAAGATTTAGATTTCATTTGGTTAGACCATGTTAACTACTATATACTTTTAAAGTACAGACTACTTTACAGTTTTCTAGCTGGTATACCAGTATGTGCAAATGCTTACAGATTAGAACTCTATTTACAGTGCTAGTTACTATTAAAAAAATACTTTCCAAGATTTTTTTTTTTGAGTGCTTTAAAGATGCCCAAAGCATCAATGTTATCAACCAGCTAACACTGAAAAACTACCCTAGTATAACACAATGTGATATAGCACAAAGATTAGTGGGATTTTAGTTTATGTTTATAGCTGTGCACTTGACACCCACTATGTACGCTCAAATAGTAATCTTAATGATACTTTATTTTAAAATATTATCTACCTGCAAATATTTAATGTAAACCAAAATTATACTTGAAGGAAACAAAGACAACTTGAAATTTATTCAGTTACTTTCCCTCCTAAAGTTCCCTGCCAATTTGAGCTGGTTTATAATCACATTTTCTTGCTACTAAAATGTATTTTTCCTTTCATATTTTCAGCACAGAAAAACTCACACAGGCAACGGGGAACTGACTAATATAATATCTGGGGAAAGACTGAGGCTAAACTTATTACTTAGGTCAAATAAAGGCCCGTGTGTAAGCCCTAAAATGCTTCAAACATTGCTGTGTTACCTTCACTGTGTTTTCCCAGAAGAGCCCTGATGCCTGCATTCTGGCATGACTGGGGTGAAAAGAGCAGGGCCAGAAAGTGCCTCTAGCTTCTT